TATAGGACGTCATATTGTATCCATTATTGTCCCAAAAAACATTGTAGCCATTACTGTTTCTAAAATATTTAGCATCCCCAACACAAACATCAACACATAATCAGAAGCAAAACTAAAGCATAAAAAGTCATGATATTATCAAAACATAAGGATAGATAAAGGAGAAAATTCTCAAGATCAGACTGTAATCCAATCTAGAGTAAGGCAAGATATTTCCAGTCATGAGAAAAAAAAAAAAAAAAAAAAAAAAAAACAAAAAGTTGATGTTGCGACAGAAAAGATGGAAACAATGAAATCAAGTTTTTACCATCCCTTCAACACAACAATGTTTCTCTCAACTGGGAAGTCATCCATTCCCATGCAGGGACCTTTAAGGACTCCAACCAGTTAGTTCAAGGTAGGGCGAGTAACTCGTGGCCTCACAGGTGTCTTTGAAGGGCTTACCCTTAAAAAATGGAAAGAAACAAAAGTGTGAAAATTTTCATTAAAGGAAGGTCTTTGAGAAGCGAAGCATTATTTATAAAGAACCGTTCAGGAAAGTACCTTATTGGTTGGGTTCCTAACACCATTCCGCTACAATTTAGTGCAACAATGGCACTTTCAGCCTGTTCATGGGACGGGGGAAATAATCAGTCCAAGAATGCGAAAAATGAAAAACTGTTCAACATCACAATGAAGGCATAAGGTGAAATTAGGCAAGTGATCGGCAGAAACAAATACTGACAAAACATAATAGCTGTCAGCTAAATGAATAGCAATGCTAATATGAACAAGTCAAACTCAGATACACTTGAATACAGTTGCCAGCCAAAATATGCCCTTAATTATGTTTGAATAATAAATGTATTTGAGTGGTACTCAAATTCTTAAGGATGGAAAAAGAAAGCCATATTACAAGGAAAGAAAGTTACAACCTTTTCCCTTGATTTGATCGAGTACATTGTTTCAAGAATAAATTATTTGAAGAAAGCTCTGCTTAGTAATACCTAAAACAATACTGATTCTGGTATGAAATTTCAAAGTCAAATAAATAAAACAAGAGCTAAACTATAAAGAAGATAGCTTCTTTTTTGAACACAGATACATAAAGTATGGAAGTTCCAATCGTTTTCTGCACACAGGCGACAAGCTATTTAACATTTAACTCTTCCTATCTAATTATAAGGCCTATGCCAAAAAATCAAATACTTTACATCATTATCCTATTCATGTGTTTATTGTCTTTCCATCCTCACTCTATCAAATCAAACGATGGCTTGGTGCCTAGGATGTGCTTGGAAGTTGGAAAAGTGCTCAGAATACCACCTTAGCCATGTTTGGTAGGCATTTGAGACTTGAGACGATGGCCTTGCAATTTGCCAATAGACAACTACTCTTTAATAATATTAATTAGTGGCTATTTCTAAAAAAGATAAACAAAAGTAGCCTGCTATTTAATAGAAAAGTAACAGAAAATATTTTGTGTGGGTAATACTTTATATAATCATAGGCCCCTCATTTTATTAAGTAGTCAGCTATCTTTCACTAAAATCTTCCCAAGCAACTTATCAAATGCAAAAATGATCCTTAAACAATACTTCATAGAAATGCAGCCTTCAAATTTATGAAAATGTAGTTTGACTACTTATTAGATTTGGTTGTCAACAACCATATGCAACCGTATGCAGTGCTTTGCTTACCAAACCTGGAAGTTAGTTTACGCTTCTCTCCTACTTTCCTAGGACCAAGTCATGGTTGTGATTTGCAAAAACATTATAGAGGCCAAAATGTCCAATTCAATGAATTTCTATTGTGATAAAAACAAATTAAAGGTGGAATACCTACAATATCCATCTAGAATAAAGGAGATATGGATAACTATTTCCCCCCAGACAATAATCCTTAATGATAAGCATATCTAACTAAGTATCTCAATCCTACCACATTCATCTTCTGAGTATGTTGTCTTCTAACTCTCAAACGCTCCCTGCTATAAAGGATACTTGCACTCATAGGTACCATATAAAAATTTCCTTTCAATTGGGTAGGTGTACCGCACAATATTTTCTACCACATCTCTTCATTTCATCCAAGATATTCTTAACATATGTCTAGCATTCCCTGCCAATTCTCCTTCATCAATAAAAGAAACTAAAGAAAATTACCAAAAAATGGGAAAAATATGATTATGCAACTCTGAAAGTAGTTAATACTGTTAGTGTAAGTCTAACACAACTGCCATTAAAAAAAACCCCAAGAATGTAGCAATCTAGAGCTAGATTTGGCTAGAGAGGATTAAGTTAGAAAGCCTAGCTTTCAGGCTTAAAACATTAAATCTTAACAAATAATAAGGGCAAGAAAATGATCAATCAAACAGAATTTATTACATTAAAGTAACTGTCATTCAAGGCTGTCAAAGAAACGATGTGTAAAGTATTCTAATCTTAAATTTTAGTCATTAAGCCAGGGAGCGCTAGTGGTCCACCCTTGTGTAGAAAGGGGTTCCTCACCATGGCAGGGGTTTGAACCCGTGTTACTCCTCCTCCCCAAAAATCTTAATTATTGAGCCCAGTTTTAAGTAACCCTGCCACATTGTATTCAAATTTTAACCATGTCCAAAATTTGACTTAAAAGAAATATTGATGACGACCCTTACACATGTACCAACTCTATTGTCAAAGCATTAAGTCATAAAAAACTAACTTTTAATTAACTTTAAATAATCTACCTAAATATGATTCTTTGGTATAATTAGAGCTAAGGGTATGCAGCATGCAGCTTGTGATTACAAAGAAGACTTCTGAGACTTTTGTTCATCTAAAGAACATTTGATAAGAAAGCTTGAGAGACTTTCAATTTTCTCCTTATTTACTAGAGGAAATTAAGCTACAACAAGACAACCTAGATTATCTCCTTCAAGGACACATGAACCACAATACTCTCTTTGAACAGACGATGTGGATGGAAAATCTACCCTACTTTATAAGTTCTATTTGACATGGAACATTAGGCAAGCTTAGTTCACAACCTTTCAAGCTGAAAATTTGGAGGAACTCTAATCTGACTCATTAATCATCAGAGAGCCAGAGTAAACTTTTAAATGAGCCAGTCCAGAAGGGTCTTCAGGTGATTTAAATTCCATCTCTAGTCATTGTGGCAACATTATATGTGACTAACAAAATCAAGAACTTTAACCATAAGCACAAACTTACCATTGCAAATTCAACAAAAGCAATACGAGTAGAATGCACTTGATCGCCCAAAAGCCTCAAGCGAGTAACCTGTGAATCAAATGATTGGTTTCAACCATTAAAAGAGATGTGGACAAACATTTGTTTTCTTCAAATTAAAAAAAAGAAAAAAAAAAGAAAAAAAGAAAAAGCCATTTTATTTAAAACGTCACTAACCTCACCACATGATGATTCAAAAAAATTCCTCACTTCAGCTTGAGAAACCTGCAACTAGGTGTTATAAGTAAATTTTAAGTAATCAGGAATAAAGTCCCTAGGGGATGTCCCATTGGTGAGGGGCTTGAGTATCCACATTGGAGATCTCAAGTTTGAGTCTTGGGATAGGGAGGGATTTGGGCAAAGAGGAGAGGAAAAAAAGTTGGAATAGATCACAAAGAGAAAAAGTTAATAAAGGCCTCTTTCCTAGCAAAGAACTTAATAGTATATTCAATCAACAAAAGGAGAAAGTATGGCACTCATTGAAACAGAGAAAAATGATCCAAACATTCATAAAACGAAGATCAGGTAGTTTACCTTCTTGTCAATATTTGTACAATACACAGTCCTAGTACACATTTCCCTTTCATCCTCTGACTGCAGTTGATTGTAACTATCATTAGAAGAAGCCATAAAAGAAGTGCATAACCTGAACCTTTCCAGATATAAACCTTAACTTGCAAGACAGCCAACAAAAAGCTTAACTAGCTTAATGGAATAAATTTGCAGAAAATCATAATGCAAATTCTGAGACAACTACAAAGAATCATAAAGTTATTCATACCCTAGGGAGAAATGTAGGATTCACAGGAAGTATGGCAGTTTTTGAAGGCAAGACCCTAACAGGATAGAATCCTAACATAGTCCCACCAAGGTTTAAAGCAGCCCTTGCACCTTCTGCAGTAACAGAACATGTAGAATGCAACATATGAATGAAAGTGCATTAAAGTATTCATACCGACATGCATTAAAATATTCATACTTTTCAATCAGTCCACATCACTTTCTTACCCTCATTTGCAAATTCCACAAATGCAAAGCGAAGAACTGAATGTGGATCACCACAAACACGGCAATCAACAACCTTCAAAAATAAATGTTTGAAAGTAATTTCAATGTTTCCATAATTACCATGTAATCTAACACAGATATGCACAGAAAAAAAGCAACTTCATTGAGTGTCATATCATCTATCAAAACCCAAGGAGATTTCCTTTCAAGGGAAGTTGGGGAATGATGTTTCAAGTAAAAAGAGAGAAGCACTTTATGCCTCATAAAATAAAGCTTGAAGAAACAGTATAAATACTTAAACCTCATATTGAAGATTGCAAAAAGATGCAATTTTAAGGTTTTTTTCATAAACATGCTTTCATACAATGCAAAAACATGAAGATGTGTATGCAATCGTGTGCAAGCCAAACACAAATGTTAATATTTGGAAAAGCATGTGGTTTACATGCATGCATGTGGTTTACATGCATGCATGTGGTTTACATGCATGCATGTGGTTTACATGCATGCATGTGGTTTACATGCATGCATGTGTGTGTTCATGCTGCATTCCATGTTCTGCACATTTATAATACATTTTCCCCATTTCTCACATAACAAGAAGTAAACTTTCGATTAGGGGAAGCATTAGCAAGCTTATCTGTACAAATATTTTAAAAGACCTCTGGAACTTACCTCTCCACAGCTACTAAATAAACCAGCAAGCTGCTCTTCAGTAATCTAACAAGAGGCAAAAAAGCCTTTCATTAAAACAATTTCTCTAAAATCATTAGACAATAACCAGATAATGTTGATACAGTCAAGAGATAAAGATAAAAAACTAAGCCATAATTTTAACTTACAGTTTGATCAATATCAGAAACATAAACTGTTCGCCTAATACTATCTTCTCTTTGAGCTCTGAATGCTCTACCACTCAGTCTCCTCCTTCCCTGGTAATAATTATTCCTTCTCTGATAAACAAAAAAGACAAGCTTTAAGCAATTACAATTAAAAGAAACGATCCAACCGGAAATATGTTTGGATTAAAAGCAGATATAATTATAAACAGAAAAGGCCAAACAAGACCCAGAACTTACATTAGCCAAAATCCAGGCAAACCAATCAGACATCAAATCAGAAAACATGAATAAGTTTGGCAAGGAGAAAAAAAAAACATTAGAATTACAAAAATAGGTTGAAAAAGAAAATTTCAGAAAATAACAATTCTAAAACCCAAAACCTCCATCGTCGCTGTCAAATCAAGATCTAACCACAAAATAACAATCATGCAATAAAAAAAGGCACAAAATAATCTGAATTTAAGAAGAGCAGATTTGAAGGCAAAACAGATAGCAGAGAGACAACCAAAATAAAGCTGCAGTGATAATTCAGTAATAAAATGAATTGTGATTCTGAAATCAATAAAAAGAAAGATTAAATTCTGAATGAAATGGAATGTCGGTAGTCACCCTCCGGTTAGCATTGAAATTAGCATTCTCATTTCCAGATTGCTTCACCGCCTCAAAAGTGTTGACTGAAAATTGGGTTTTCTTGGTCTGATCATGGTAAGATGAGGGGAAAAACTCCTTGGCTAAAGGATTCAACTTTGTGAACATATCAACAAGCTTCTGCACATTGAATTCCTTAGATTCCGATTTCGGCTCCAAAGTCTTGTTGTTGACATTGCTGTCGATGTTATCCTTATTGTCTGCACTGCTGACAGTGTGGTTGGTGTTGTTGTTGGTGTTGTTGGTGTTGTTGTTGGGGGCTGCAGCTTCAGCGCTCTTCTCAGTCACAGCAGCCATAGAATCAAAACCCAACCCCACAAAATTACACCCAAAAAAATTGATCAAACAAAGAAATTTAAATCAAAGGTAGCCCCTTTAGTTATACCCTTATTTTCTGAGGAAGAAAGTGTGGGGTTTTTGACAGAAATGAAGAGCTGGAGGAAGAATGCTGTCTAGAAATGAATACCCATATGGAAGGTTAGGCTGAGAATGGAATGGAAAGGACTGCAACGCAAAGGAAAAAGGAAAAAATTGATATGTCTGTGAATAAAGTTAAAAAAAATAAAAAAAAATATATTTATTCTGAGAGAATTTTAGGGTTTTGAAAGAAGCAGAATGCAAGGATCAAAGGAAGGAGAGGGGGGAGGAGGAGGAACAGCAGGTGAGTTTGGCTTTCTCTACCCTTCTTGATGGCTTTATTCTTTTTTTCATTTTTCATTTTTTTCATTTTATAAATTTTTATAAGAGAATCAAGAATAATTTTAAAGTTTTGGGTTTGGCTTTTTCTCAATTTTCTTTTGCACTTAAAATTATTTATTTTTTTAATTTTTAAATATTATATAAAATATATATATTAAATATATATAATATACATAAAAGGAAGTTAAATGTAGAAAACGACGAAGTGATAGGTTTAATTAAGCTTTGCTCGTCGGTATTATATTGAGTTACAATTGTAAATTTTTTTTTAATTTGAAAAATATATAAAATATTTATTAAAATTAATAAAAAAATAAAAATTATAAACTTACATTTTTAAACGAGTGATGCTCGGAAAAAGAAAAAGTATTATAAAATAAAGCTTACGTGTAAAAGGTTTGCTATCCGCTTGTGAATGCTCATGAAGAAGACGTTAATTAGTAATTTAGAAATGTTCATAAAGAAATAAATTTTAATAAATTTCTTAATTTTAACACAAATAACCTCCCGGCTCTCTTTAATAAGACTAAAGAAATAATTTAGCATGGTGTCAAAAATTATATCAATAAATTAATAATAAATTTAAACTTCATTTGACAAATACTATGCACAAATTTTTTTTTATAAAGAATATCATTTTAAAACATAAATTTTTAATTTTTAATTTTTTTTATTAATTTAATTAATATTTTACATATTTTTAAAATAATAAAATAAACCTACAATATATTCACAATTTAGTATAATACATACAAATAACGCCTTAATCAGTGACGAGACGAGAGTAACCAATAAATTAATTTATTTTACTTTTTGAAAAAAGAAATGGGAGTCGGAAGAGTAATAACGTGAGGGGGCATTAAAGAAAGAAACAAAACTAACGTAGGGAATTTTTTCTTCTGGCGTAAAACGTAAGGATGACTTTAGCAATTTTGTATTTTTTGAATTTGATGCGTTTCTATTTAAAATTACAATGAGATTGGATATGTCATCCATAACTGTCTCTGTGCGTTGGACCCATTTATTCTCATTCTTATTTTCTTTAATTTTTTTATTAAAAAAATCATCACTTTGTTTTATTTATTTTTATTATAATTTCTCAATAATTATTATTTTAATGCAAATTTTTGAATGAAAATTCCGAGTACAGTTTTTTTGTGATTAGCCAAATTACCTCAAGTTTATTCCTCATATTTTTTTTTATATTTTACTTTGAATTGTAGGAGTTTTGCATTCATCTTCTCAAATGAGTCAAATCTATCATATCTAAACGCTCGTGAAAATTTTCTGTAAAAATTACTTACGAAAATTAATGGACATATATTAATGAAAAGTTCATTTTTGATATATTTTGAAGTTCTAATTTAATTTTTGACACGATTTAGAAATCACTCAATCAATAGGTTTTTATTAGTAAATATTGATCAAGCCTGATTTTATTAAGTCATCAAGTCTTTAAAAATAATGTCTTCTACATTTGATTGAAAATGTTGTTAATTACTTAAATAATTTAATAATAATTTTTTATAGAAATAAAAGATTTTAAATCGAGTTGTATGACATATAAATAAGATAGATTAATAAATAAAAAATAATTATATTTTGTTATGCAATTCAAGATAAAAAAAAATATTGAATTGAAGTTTTTGATGCAATCTATAAGAACTCGTATCTATCAACCTTATTTATTCTAATGTTAGAGAATTTACATTCAAGGATCAAATTGCATAATCTTGTTCTATTATTATGTGATTTTTATCCAAATACGCTGAAATTCCAAGGAATGCAAAATTTAAATTTTATAACTATTATATATATTATGAGGTTAGTACGTATTAATTTTCATTTAAAAAAATTAAAGTTCTAACTTATATTTAAAAATTAAAATTTCAATTTAAAATTTAAAAACCTATGCAATTAAATGTTTATATATAGATTTGAAAATCAATTATATATTTTAATATAATCAGTTTTTAAATATAAATATCAATATTTGATAAAATGAATTTTTAAATTTTAATCGAGTTTTAATTAAATTAAACAACATAATTTGATATTGGGACACCAATTTATTTTTGGAATCAAGATTAATATGCATTTTTTTTCAATATTATTGTATATGAAAGAATTGTTTTTTATTTTTATATATTTAATGGGCAGTGTAATAAAAAAAAAAACCTCTTAAATTACTCTCAATCAGTTTAAAGATTTCATCATAAGATATTTATCTTGAAATTTCAAATTTTTATCACTAATTGAGAAACATCTTGAAGACAAAAAAAAAAAAAAAACACATGTGTTTGTGGCATTAATGGTTTGAGAAAACAATAGTATGAAGATTTTGATTAATTAATTGTTGGTTTTTCAAATATATGTTTTGATTAATTAATTAAGATGTAATTAATGTGTCTTTTTAATAATAATTAGTATTAAAAA